TTGGTCAGAGTTGACTTTTTTGGTGCCACACTGTACGAGTACGAGCCCGAGCCCGAGTTTATATCCCTTTACACACATGTCCGCTGCTGTTATCAGAGCGAGTGCATCGCACTCCTTGGACACTCCACTCCCCTACCCGCTCCCACCCCGCTCTCTCTCCCCTTTCTCCACTCTCTCTCTCTACTGTGGCGATTGCTATCTGTATATTGCTGCTCCAGTTTTCAGTTGCGACTTGTGTGACCCATTATTAGCTGGAAAATGGGAAAAATGCATGAATGTCTATGACTTTTCCCGCTCTGCCCGCTCTACCCGCTCTACCCGCTCTACCCGCTGTGCCTTTGGTCCTTTGGGACTTGATTTCCTTTTGCGTTTTGGACATTTCCTGTGTCACTGTTCACTGCAGCAGCAGCAGAGGGACAGAGATAGAGCGAGAGAGAGTCAGTGGTAGATGTGGGAAATGTCTTTGGAAAAACGTTTTCGAGTTAGCGCCTAGGGAAATGTCATGGAAAATTTTAATTGCTAAATTAATTTATAAAGAAGTTGACACTAAATATGCGACTTCCCTGCACCGGGGGGATCCTGGAAACAACTGGTAACAGCTCCTCCCCATCATACTCGTATCATATCTTCTTTTGCTTTGCTGTTTTCTGGCATTTTTCTGGCACACAAATCTTTTACTTCTTGGGGCAATTGGCTGATCATCGAATGCTATCATCCATATACAGTATCACCAATATTTTCCATATCATCTTGCTCTCCAGCTCTCTTTGAATTTATCCCTGCAACCCTACCCCAATCAAGCATCAGTATCTGTTTTCTACATCCTTCGCTATCAGTTTTCTTCATGTTGAAAGCACTTATAAATAATAAAATAATACTATATTAAATATGTAGCATCTTCTTGTGTCTGAGCCATCCATTGGGGCGGTGCTCCTGTCTGGCTATCGCTCTGCTTTCTTCCACTAATTTTTCCAACTTCAATTAGCTCCCAAAACTTCTCTGTTAATGTTCATTTAACTCCGAATATTATGCTGCTTCCTTTGGAGTCCTTCTCTCTCTTTCTTTTTTTCTTCCTTTGTGCCTAGGGGAATTCCCAAAAATAATCCCAAGAAACAAAAGAGATCTTGACTCTAAATTGAAGCCACAAAATATCATTTTTCCTTTTCTTCTGCTCTGACTTCAGGGTGTTCTCCTGCAGCTTCCCAATCATTGCTCAATCTTTGTGCTGCCTCTCTGCCTCGCTCTTTCTCTGATCTCTGCCTCTCTCTTTATCTGCTCTCTGCCTCTATCTTTCTCTGATCTCTGCCTCTATCTTTCTCTTCTATCTCCCTCCCACCCTCTCCTTTCCTTGCTCTTTTCCGGTGTCTTTCCTTTATTTTGTTTGAAGACAAAAACAAGTGTTTTGATTATTTCCCACGTCAACACACAATGTACGCGTTCTGTCGCTCATTCGGCTCTCTCTCTCTCTCTCCCTCGCTCCCTCTCTCTCCCTCTCTCTCCCTCTCTCTCCTACTCTCTCTCCTCTGTTCTTTGGGAATATATTAACCCAAAAACTTTTGTTGCAGCCAACACTCCATTCTCTACCCCTTCTACAGGTTCCCCCTCTAAGCTAAGCTCTACTTTGCCCTTTAAAGCAATCTTTTTCGAAGACTTCCCCCCCCACACACACACACACACACACCCTATTTTTCTTGTGGGGTTTTCCCGCTGCAATGAACTGTCAACACCACATGTGGCTATGGCTATGGCTATGGCTATGGCTTTGTTCTTGTTTGCTGGCTGTGTTTGTGTTAATTGTTTTTCTTTCTAACACATGACCCCATGGCCCCCCACACTTCCCCCCCCCCTCTTTTGCTGCTTGCAACATTTTGCGGCTAAACTTTAAACACGCGCAATGCGCTGCGCATGCCAAATGAGGCAGAAGGCTACGCTCCCAGACTGATTGAGGGAGGGGGTAGGGTGTTTCTTCCCTCTGTGAAAGGTGCCTTGCCTGGGGGGGGGTGTGCGGGAGGTGGCTGGTTGGGCTGCCCATAAATTTGCATTTAATGAACATTTTTCTGGGCATTTCGACTAAAAGGAAGGGCCCTGCCCCCCCGTCTTATTCAGAATTAACGCTTTTTGTTCTCTGCCGTGTAATAGGTTTTAATTATGTGGGTGGGCGGTGTTCAGGGGGGCGGTGGGCGTGCTGAAAATTGCATTACAATGAGACGCGGAATGTGGCATACAATGCTTGAAAATACTTGCAAACGAGAGCTAAATACGAAATGGGAGGAGGCACCACTACAACCGCCGGATACCTTTTTTTTTTTTTTTCGGCGCAGGCGTAACCGCAAAGGCAGGAAGCGGCTGCTGCTGCTGCTGCCGCTGTGTTTTTTGTGGGTGGTTTTTTCTTGCTGCACACATATGTAGATTTGTGGCCTTAACTGTAGGTTTAACATGAGATGTGCCCAGCCCCCCTGAGCTGCACTTCTTCTAACTGTAGGTTAAACCTCATCAGCGGGTCCATTGTTTGTGCCATTTATGCAGTTTTTGACTTTTAACAGTCCAACAATCGGTCAACATTCCCTCAGCTCTCTCATTCATGCAGCTCTCATTCCAACCAGCTCTCATTCCAGCAGCTCTCATTGCTGCCTCTCACATTCCTGCCAGCTATCCGCCTCTCTGTCATTCATCCCCTCTTCTCGGCGCTCGACTTTCGCTCAATTTTATGACAAAATTCGATTTCATTGGCGATTTGGCAAACAATTCATGTGAAAAATTGTCATAAAAATGCAATAAAATTTTGATTTCAGCTTCGATTTTGTCTGGCGAGCAGCGCAAAAATAGTTGTAGTTGTAGCAGAAAAATCAAAATAAAATCCCATGTCCACAGAGTTGTAAAAACACTACAGAAATATTATTCTGTTTTTGCGTTCAGCGAATGGGGCTGGGCTGGCAGCCAAATAGATTGATTTATGGTGAAAAGTGCCTGGGAAATATGAAGCGCGACTCATGCTGAAAGGGAAAATGCTGTTGCTGAGAGTGAAATTGGATGAAGGTTGAAGGTTCAAGAATTTTTTTTATGGTTTGTTATTGTGAACTGAAGCTAGCAAAAAAAAAAACGTAGTTGAAGTTGTGATTTATTGTTGCTTTTTTTGAGGTTTGAATGACAGCGAAAAAAGGTTTTTGATTGCCACTGTATTTTATTTCAAATTAAAGAAGAGTTGAAATGCGCTTGGGAATCCTTTCAAAAAGGTTTTTAACTTAACTCTAATAAATTTTAAAAATTCACTAATTTTAATTCTTTTCTTAAATATTTAGCATTTTGTTTTTGTTCTTTAAGTCTTTATCTCACTTTCACTGAATACAAAAAAAAATCTCATAAATTCCATATCCTTGCTTTAAGCTCATGCCCCACTCATCTCGCATGTCCTCCTCTCTCTTCGCTGCCTTTATCCGCTTTCGAAAGTCAAGAAGTCTCTCAGCGCTCAAGCCTTTTCCTCTCTATTTTTCTACTTCTTTTTCCACACTTACTCAAGCAGCCAGCGCAGCCCCTCTTCACGCACTCTTCAGTGAGAATGAGAGAATTATGAGTGGACGAACACTTCACGAATAATATTTTCAGTTTTCATTTCTCAATTCGCAATCTCTATACAGAGCATTTTTATTGTCGCTAGAGAGGATATTATTATTATTATTTTTCTTTTTTTTTTTTGTGTGTGAGAATTTCTTGTGCATTTTTTCGGATGTTGACACACAAACGACAAAGAGACGAACGCCTCGAAATGAACACACGAGCACACAGGATGGAGGATGGGGAGTATGGAGTATGGAGAGAGTCCTTACTTGCATGGGGAACACGGAAGAGGAACAAGCAGAGGATGTTTACTTTGTTGTTTCAGTGTTGTTGGGCAATAATGTTGGATGCTGCAGCTGTCTCTGGGTCTGCTTGCCCCACTGGAAAAGAAAACGTGGGAGTAAGAGGAGAACATTCGGAGGAGAGGACTCGCATGAACTCCTTTTAGTTGTCACTCATAAATTAACACCTAGCGCACTCTCTCTCTCTTTCTCTCTCCTTTGCTGTTTGCTGCTCCTGCCACGTTGACAGTTATGGGGCAAGGATATCAAAGACACGACTGCAACTCTGATGAGCCTGATCATGCCACAAAGTGAAAGACAGAAAGACAGACAGACAGAGAGAGAGTTCCACATACTTTTCTCTGAATAAATGTTGTGTGTTGATTGTTTGAAGTGCCCCTGGCCCTCCACGAAAGTGGCAGGCAGAGCAAAGTGGCGGGGCATACATATACCCCGTTTTGGGTCAGGCGGGTAATAGGAGACTAGTCCATGGGGGAATGTGTGCAGCACTTGCAACAGATGCGAGCATTATGGATGCCTGCCAGAGCAGGGAACGAACGAGTGACACGACTGATGACAGAATGAAAGATCAGAGTGAAAGTGAGTGAAAGAAATCTAAGAACTGCCAGACAGAGGTGCGCTGCTGCATTACGCAGAGTCCTTTTAAAAGTGCGCCTTGCCTTTAATTTCTAACTTTTATTTTCGTTTGCTGCTTCAGCTGTCAGCTGAAGTTTGTGCCAAGCTGGCAGGAGTTTTGCTTTGCAATCATTCTGCGCCCTTAAACGTTTCTCAGTCCCCTCCAAAAAGGAACCTCAAAACCCACCGAGTAGAGCAGCCCCTTCAACAGTCGTAAGTCGTCTTGCAGTCAGGAAGTCTCTCTTGTGCGCGCTTTCTAGTGGCACTCTGTCGATCGTGTTCCTGATTCCGCCTTAACCCTACCTCAAGTGACACTCGAGTTTGTTCACTCAATTGAAAGTCTGTGTCCCCCCCCCCTCCAAGTCTCTCCCTTTGCCGCTGAACCATGAATAAGATTGCATGTGGCGTGCCCCTCGCAAATGAAGACGGCAAAATTTTGCTCTAGTGATTAGCTTTTTGCGTGCACTATTATTAAAACATTTCCTGTTTTTTCTTTTCTTTTCTGTTTCTTTTTCTTTTCCCTTGCAGGCGTCAGCATGCCTTCATGGGCAACACACAGAAGCAGCAGCCAACTGCTGGAGGCAGTGGCGGTGGCAGCGTCACCCACAGTCCGGAACGTTTGCGCGGTGCCACACAGGATCTGTTTGAGCTTCTGGAGCGTGTGCAGTGCTCGCGTCTGGATGACCAGCGATGCGTTCTGCCCGCATATTTCTCTCAGGTGCGTACCCAAAAAAACAAAACAAAAACAAAACAAAAAACAAAACAGGGGAGACAATAGGGCCAAAAGGTCAGCAGCATACAGCGTCAGCGTCAGCGACCTACGACAATGGTCTCATATCACAACACATCAGAGTCCCCGGGCATATGCTGTGGTGCTCCAATAATCGCCACTGCTGCTGCTGCTGCTGCTGCTGCTGGCGTTGGATGTCCATGCCCGCCTGCCCTTTGGGTTTGACCCATAAAAGTGCATCTCCTGGAATGGAGCAGCGCAAGAGTAGTAAAAATTCCAATTTTATTGCCACTACGGAGGGTCATAAAAATTGCCAATGGGACGGGACAATGGGCAGCAACCACACAATGGAGTTTGTCGCGCTGCATGTATGTATGTACATGATGTCGCCCCTCGCCTCCCGCGCAACAACATGCAGGGGCAACATCTGTATAATTTGACATAATCTGCGCTTTGTCTGCGACACCAAGCGAGACAGAGACCCAGAGACACGTTTAATAGGCAAATTGTAAGCAGCACCCCACAACACACATTCGCGTGGACTCTGGAACGGGGACTGGGACTCTCGCGTGGTTCCATTTACCTCCAGTTATTATTGCGGGTGTGGTTTCTGTTGGGATTAAGAAGTGTGTGGTGTGCCGTGTGGTGGTTGTCGATTTTTACGACACATTTCTTGCCATCCAAAAATTCAGCTGCTGCTGCTGCGGAATTGAATTGAAGTTTTTGGCAGCTGTCAGGTGTGGCTCCTGGCCCCTGGCCCCGTGGCCCTGGCCTTTGTTTTCGGTTTATTTGTATTGCAAATTTTATTAAATTAAAGGCGCCATAAACGAATGAATGCAGGTAATGTGTGTTTGAGGATTTGCCTGTGGGGCGGTTTAAAAATTAAATTTCTGCAATCAAAATGTTTATATTTTAAATTTTTAAAAAGAAAATGCTCAATTTTTTAAATTTAAATGGCGCCTTGGGCCTAATGCGGTAGTTTTTGGAACTACCATGTTGATGACTTCGCTAAACAGCCGCTTGGTGGCGCTTTGCTATCGCGCTAGCGGTTGATGTTGAAACTAAAAAGCAGCTACAGTAGCGCCCCCAGGTGGGCTTTGAGGGTACTATTTAAGTTAGTGCATTTATTAACTGATAGATGGCGATGCTCGTTGACGTAGTTGCCGGCATAGATGGCGGCATGCAGCTATTTCTGACATTTAGGGAACTTTACAGATTTATGCTTAAATTCTTAAAAAAAAAACTAAAAATAAATAAAATTGGTAACTTAAATATTTTCAGTATAATTTTAAAACCGAGCTGAACTAAATTGTTTGCTCTTTAACCCTTAAGCCCGCCGCTTGACCCTCCCTCCAGTCCACACTAAAAAGTTGTTTTCTCTTTTATTTGCAAAGTTTATCAAATTTTTAGAGCATAATCCACTTGGCCTTCCCTTGCCTTAAGATTTGTATAGTTTTGTTGCTTCGAGTTTTTTTTTTTTTTTTTGTGTACCGTGCCCTTCTCCCTTCCCACCCCCTCTTCAATTTTCTATGGCCTTTTCAGATTTTAATTTAGTTTTCGCAACAAATTTTCGGAGGCAAACTTTTTCATCAAACAGCGCAGGAACTGCAGCAGAGTGCCGCCCCCCTCCCACGCCTAGATGCCTAGATGTTTGCCCTTACCCCGTTGCACCGCTTCTATACTCGCCCCTCTTATCCACAAGTGGCTTGCAACAAAGTGCAGGCTCTGCCTCATCCTTCCACTCACCCCTATCCTGCCACAATTTCTACTCAAGATGCAAGCCGTCTCCCCGTTTCGTCGAGTGCCTTTTCGAAAACTTTTTATGCGGGCTCTTATAGGAAAGAGCGTGCGGGAGGGAGAGGGTTGGGGTGGGGGTGGTGGTGTGTGTGGCAAGGAGTCGTCTGGCCAGCAGTCTGGGGCAACGTCTTGAGGCAAAACTAGGTTGACTCTTGGACCGTAGGAGACTCCCTCCGTGTTCTCCGTCTGCCGCCTGATGAAAATTATGTTTGTTCAAGTTTGAAAATTGAATTTGGGCGCTCAGTTCAGATTGTATATGGTTGGGTGCTTGTCAAACTGTGCCACGTGCCGCCCCGCCACAAGAGAGAAAATACCAAAGGTCCTGTGGCTGTGCAGAAAGTCCTGTTCTGTCGTCCTCCTTGGATGTTTGCATGTGTTTTTGCTGGGATGCCTTTGGGTGCGCTTCTATTTCTTGCTTGCTCTTTGTGTGTGTTTTCTCTCTAATTCGCATAGTTTTCACTTGATATTTCTCTGCTCTCCCCCTCCCCTCTCTAAGTATTCTCCCCTCCCTATCTAACTATTCTCCACTCCTTCTCCTGAGTATTCCCCCCTATTGCATAGTTCCTCGCACGTTTAATCTGCCATTCCATTGCATAGTTTGGGGGCTAATAAAGTGTTTGGCGAGGGAATGTCTCAGGCTCTGGGTGTGGGTCTGGCTCTGGCTCTCTGAATGTCTCTCCCACTCTTGACACTCCCCTTCGCCTGCTCCTTCTCTTCTGTGGCTAATTAAGCCTGGCCAAAATCCACGCAGAAGTAGAAACCGTTTTCTACCTTTATTTTATTTTTTTTTTTGCCAGCTTTTTTTTCAACCTTTTTGCTGTACCTTTTGTTCCCACCCCCCTCTGTTTTCCCAGGCCCATCTGGGATTCCCATTGTGTTTCCTCCTCCGCCTCCTTCTGCCTATTTCAGCTGTAAATTTATGCTGCAGCTCCTCCTCCGCCTCCTGCTTCTCCTGCCTCCACCGACTTTTGTTGGAATTATAAATATATATTTTAGTCGGTTTTGGTTGCCTTTTTTTTGTTGTTGTTTTTGTTTCTTGCATATTTTTCACGGGCTCTTGCCTCTGCCACACCGCACCGCACCGCATTAGAAGAAGTCTCTTTGGCTGTGTGTCTCCTTATGTCTTTGTCTCAAATGGTGCTGCAATTTGTCTGCGGCACAGTTGAGCAGTCATTGTGGGTGTGAGTGGTGTGCGGTGCTGTGCACTGTGTGTGTGTGTGTGTGTGTGTGGGATGCAACGAACGTTGAAGTTGTTAATTGCGATGGTCGTCAGCCGCAACGACAGCCAAGAAGAACCAGAGACCAGAGGACCGCAAGAGCAATAGCAAAAATTTACTCCCACAGTCCCGGCGTTTTTCACCGGATGAAAATGAGCTGCATTCACAAACAGAGAAATGGTTGGAGATGCTCAGATACATATGTACATAGATACTTCTTTGGTTTTTGGGGGGTGTGGGGCAGGCACTTCGTTATTCACCTCTAAAAAAAATTTCCAAGTATAAAAACTGCGATGTTTATCAAACGAATCCGCCCGTAACCCAAGCCCAAGAGCGGCCTCTAAATTATCAAAAAAAAAAAAACTCAAAGATATCCCCTTGCCTGTTTGGCACTTGGAAATTTATAATTATTTTCCGCTTGTTGCATGCAACTCTTCAACTTTGCCATGTGGAAACCTTTCCGTTACTCATTCATTCACTCGTGGCTTTTTAATTTCCTCTCCCCCAAGTAAGTATCTTTCTGCTACTCCCAAAAAAAAAAAACAACAATGCAACTTTAAAGATACTTCCATTTTTTTTTTTTCACGCTTTAGTTTGAGGTTTGCTTCTATTTTGTTGTTGTTGTTTTTTTTTTTGTGACTTTAACCCCCAGCCCTGGGGCACTGTAATCCTGCCCTGCCCCTCTTGCAGCGCCAACATTTTCTTGGTGCTTCTCGCTCTCTCGTATCTTTTGCGGCATGCGGCACTGACTCTGATGTTTACCTTGTTGCTGCTTCGCTGACTTTGTTGTTGATTGCCAGCTGACAGCAGAGGCAGCAACAGCAGCAGCCATCAGACTTCAGACACTAGAAGCAGCAAACCTTAGACCTTAAAAACTCTTTTCACATGGAATTTAAAGCTCGATGGCGGTTTTGAAGTTTTTGGGTCTGTGGCTGATGCGGGTTCAGCATAACCAATTAGCCATGAGAAGAGGCACTGCGGAAGCAGTCATCCAGCCCAAACAACCATCCAATCTATTCAGCCTATCCATCTTTCTATCTTGCTATTCGTTCACTTTTAGAGCTATCTGTCTGCCTGTCTGTCTGTTTGTTTGCCTATGCATCGATCCATTTCTATTTGTCTTTATTTTAAATATATTTCCAGCCTTTTGTCTCTCTCTCTTGCTATTTTGTGTGTGTGTGTGTGTCAACTACTTTCTAGATATTTATGACTTGAGTTGAACTATTTTTCGTAGATGGAAGGAATAGCTATTTATTGAAGTATCTAGCCCTTGAACGTACTGTTCTACAACTATCTATTTCCCATCTAGCCTGCTATATCCATTATCATCTATTTATACCTCTTCGTAACTATTTCTCCATTTATCTCTAACCATTTTTATCTCCCTATTTATCCACGTATGTATTTACTCTCCATGCATATATATTTTTTCCCACTCTCCCTCTGGCTTGTGGCCCTCTGCAAAACCCTAGAAATACTTTTATTTCTTGCATCTTTCTTTCTTTCTTCTTTTTGGTCACATTTTGTTTATAAACAATTTGTGGAACGCGCCATGGGGCATGGGGCATTGGGTGGCACTTCAACGCCAGAGCAGACGTGTTCGTTTGAGTATTCCATAGATTTTTCCACTATAATCAAAACTATATATAGTATATAGTGTACGACAGAGTTAATAGCTCGAATGCCAAGGTCGCGACAAGCAGAATCATAAATTTTTGTTTGCTTTTTCCTCAAGAAGTGGGAGAGGCAGAAAACCAACCAAAAATCGTTCGACTCCACACCACACGCTTATCCACAAGTCAGACCCCAGTTACAGTGATGTTTCACGTTTCCAAGAGGTTTGCGCTGCTTATCAGAAATGAACACAAATTATTTATGGAATTTATTCCATGAAATATATTTTTTAATCTTTCAATGAGTGGACCATTTCCTTTTTTTTTTGGGGTTTTTTTTTGCACTTTTGGCGACAATTGC